GAATATAACCTCAAAAACACACGTGCGCATCCCACAGCTACTTCGAGCAAACAATCGTTGGCATAGAATACCCTCCCTTAGAACACGGTCTCTAATACTTGCGTTTTGTTCACTAAGAGCGCCTCTAGCACCAGGCTTAGAAACTAAAAGCGGCGCAAAATTTGAAAGTGAATTTTGCTGGTGAATTTTTTTATAAAGTGAAGGGGAAAACATTGTTTGTGAATTTTTATATGCTAGTTTCAAAACGCCTTAATACGTTTTGAGACTAACATACAAAAACACACAAACAGTTTAAAAAAATGATACATGTAAGATAGAATACATAGTATATTGAAACGTAAAAGTGATTTATAAATGAAAATATTACTATATAACAATAACAGTTCTTACGAAAATATATAGTATAATATATAAATATATATTTATAATATAATATTAGAAAAATAGCAAAAGCCAACGAAAAGCGCATAATACAATAACATTTCAGGTATGAAATGTTTAAAATTGATTTATAAATGAAAATACTGCAATATAACAACAATTTGCTAAAAATGACAGTGTGAATAAAGTATTCTCTAATAACTTACATTAGTTACATTATATTAAAATAAGAAAAGAAACAGAATATGGACAAGACATTTTTAAAATACAAACAACCAGTAGAAATGCAAACTGCCTTTGCACTTTTCATTCATACCGTCAGAAATATCACAATTAAACCCAGCACACTACTTTCTTCCGATATGAACAAAACTAAGCTGATGTATAGCCTGCGAAATGCAAAATTATACAAACGTTCTCTTTCTTTTTTTAAAACGTAAATATAATTGTTGCATTTGTCTTTCCAGTGAAGTTGATTTGTTAGGCTCTTCCTTACCAAATACGAAATTGCTGAGTTTTTTCATGTATCTAAAGATATACACTCTTATAAATAGATGAAAAAGTTGAGCTTTCAGTTCTTCGGTATGTAAGCACTCCCGAAAATCAAAATCAACTGTAATTCGCAGGTGGCTTATTAACCTTTGAGAAAGAGAAGGATGATAAATTGCAGACGGAACCAAAATGACAAGATGATTATAAATCTTAATTAGAGTTTTAATCATCTCGACATTCGCGTATTGCAACCGTCTTTTTTCACCATCATACTCCTTCTGCACCACCAGACCATGATATTGAATGTTTGGGACGCCATCATGTATCAAGTTAAATCGACTGATTTCACAGTCAAGTGGTTTTGGCATGTGTTTAACTAGAAATCCGCCAATATAACCTATAACATTTTGGTCATAAAAATTATCCTCAGACACAGTATCAGGAACTGGTGGCGGCTTCCACTGATCTTCGATACACTTACGATTTATATCAAGACTAAGAAACTCTCTAATTGAGACCACAAATGACTCGTCATCTTGCTCACAATTAGATCCACGAGAATGATAGGAGCAAAAATTCTTCATCATTAGTGATTTATAAAATGGTACGAATGCTTTGCAAGACGGATTTGTATATCGTACTCCATATTGTCTTAATTGACCAAAAAAATTTTCTAAAGGATCTTGATTAAAAGCTCTTGCTGGGAAAGAGTTATAACCAAGTTTCTTTAGAGTTTCCTTGATAAGCATAAAACCATTTAAAGTACGATACCACCCTTGCAAAACTGGAGGTTTTGCTCGATCTCCAGATTTACGTGGTTCAAATCTCATATTGCTGAACATGCGTTTCCCTTCCAGCCAAAAACTATGATGAAGAGTGTCATCTCCTACCATTTGACGTAATTTCTTACCACCACAGTCTCCAAATCCTCCATTAACGCTGTCAAAGACAGAATCCATGAACAAAAACAAATTGCAAGTGTATCGAGCATCAGGTGGTATGCTTCCCCCTAATGCCCCGGTGGAACAGAGATATATGAACTTAGCAACAGTTGAGCTAAAGACCTGTGAAGCATAACGAACTTTCATTTTTTTGCCTCTTAAGTTAGGCTTCACATGGTCTATGGTGATCTTTGTCATCACTCTCAGGGTGTCACCCTCCGTATGATCCAAATCATATGCCTTTTCAAAAAAACTCCAAGAAGCTCTTCTCTCTACACCTGATTTTTCTACATAAAGCAGATCTTTGGTGAGAAGATTGTTTCGCATACTTTTTAGAAGATGAGGAGGATCAAAGAGAGGGATAACTTCGTGATCACCAATTCTTATCACATTCTCTTCAACTTCCTCTTCATTTCCCAAAATAGCACGTCGTTTGGTTTCTTGTAAAAGCATATTGATTGCGGCACTGTTTGTAGTACCTTGATCACAAACTGAAGCAATGATGTTTAAGCCGACCGCTGTTGCTTCTTTCACAATCTCTTTATAAAAACGGACAATGTTTGCAGCAGACATAGAGTTTTTGCAAAAAGCAAAAGCAACAGGCTGCTTCCACCTTTTGAAAATTCCTCTTAGCATAAATACGCAAACATGGTCTGCAATTTTTTCCGACCTTGTTGTACCGTCATCTTCAAAACCCACAACTCTGTCCTCACAAGGCAAGTAGTCGAGGTGAGGCTGAATGGACATTTCATCAAAGATGAGAGTACATAAATTGTACTTACTGTCCATTCTGCGACATACTTGCTTTCTGAGAACTTCGAAAATGGGTTTGTTGATACCCGGTTCTATTGGAACTTTATTTAGGGTTGCCCTCAGAGTGTCAATAGACGGCAGCGTAAACATTCTTGACAGAAGTTTATACGTTTTTGGGCCATGTTTCCAAATGGCAATGGCATCTACCTTCTCCTCAAACGTAAAACTTCTGCCTTTCGGTTTACGATTTACATTTCTAATCTGGCTGTTAAAAAATCTCTGCTGTAGGGGAGACAACCCTTCCACGAGATGAACCAGTTGTCGATCTCGCAGAAGTTGTTTAACAGAATGAAGTGCGCTTTTGCGCTTTTGTGCCTGCCTCTGCAGTCTCCCCACTTGCCTTTGCAGGCGTTTCGCCTCCACGTACAGCAGGGTTTCATTGCTGCTAAAATTGACGGTGGTCCCTTTGATCCCCAGCCGATCTAATATTTTTCCTGTAATGTACACGAATATGAATTAATTTCATCATTTTTAGTCTGTATATCAAAATACATACGTGGAGTCTTGGTCATGGACTTGGAAGTATCCACCGACTGCCTGGCAGGTACAAAGTTTCCAGCAAAATCTAAAAATGGGCAATATAAATTAATTATAAGTTAACTTAATAGTATACGAGTTGTGAAAAGACTTTTCTATGGAGGCGCGTATAATATATTTTGTTTTAATGAATTTGAGGTTGCTATGCAGTAAAAGAATTATTACTGTACGGTTTGAAGGCGGATGCGAACTAATTTCATCATTTTTACTATAAAAATTAATAAAACACATACCTAAAATGTTTTATTTTATTTTTATTATATTTATTATTGGTAAATTTACCAATGTAAATATAATAAAATATTTTTTTGTCAATACAAAAACATTACAATCTCAAGTCGAAACAAAAAGGTGTTTCACCAGCCGAAGTTACGCCACTGCTTTTTTACCTGCTTTGACAGGTGTTGGCGATTAATGAACATATGACATATACGCACAGAAAAGCGAAGTGACGCCACGCTGCGGTACAAAAATGTTGTTTTATAAACAAATGATGAAGTTTTGCAATCCACCACAGTTTTATATTTTATCATTTGTAAAACATGGGGTCAAACATTACAGTTTCTTACCTATTTTTGGAATATTTTGTAACCCCGAAGGCCCAGCACCAGGGAGCTCATTGATCCCATCCTCTTCTGTAAGGTAAGTAATATTATTTTCTCTCGATTTATTTAATTTTTTTAGCACTACAATACCTGCTCCAAAATTCAGTTGTCGCACTGGAACGCCAGTACTCCATGCACTTCTACCCCCGAGAGTCTCCAGTTTAGTAGCTAAACCTATAAAGTGGAAAATAGTTAGTGCTATACATACTGAAATAGTTGCAATGGTTACTTACTTTGAGAACTTGGAGTTCGTCTCGTACGTGGAGTTAAATTTGCTATTGCATGAAAGTACGGGCATTCTTTTTCTGGAGTGAGGAAAGTGAGATCAATGGTTTGTGGCCCTACATTGGACACGTCGATCTGATCTGCTTCGAGTGATGAACGCAGTTCGTTATCATCTATAAGTAAAGATATCGTAATATTTGTTTTCTAGCAACTTTCAATTTGTTTACCTCGAGGAGGCAAAATGGTTGGTACTGCAGATCGACGCAGCCTTTGTGTTCCTGGTACATAATCCTCGGGTTGAAAATGCTGGAAACAAATGTACCCCCTTCGGTGAATTTGGTCGTGGGTCAAAACCACGAATTTTGGGTTATTCGCGGCTTTAACCCACGCGAGAAACCGATCAAGGCCCCGATTTGGGTGTGGAAACCTAAAGATGGGTTTCAATCTCGCAGCACATTCGTGTACAGAACATGTATGACTGCCTTGCATTTTTTTCTACAAAAATTGATAATAATAATAATATTGTAAAATCAAACTTATGTACTCACATTTGTAAATTAGACACTGAAATTCAATAAAATAAATTCACAAGTCGTTTCAAACACAAATCACGCAGAAAACCGAGAAAAACGTAAATGAACTGAGTGATTGAATGGTGATTCATTTGGGGTGAAAGTGATGACAAAGGGTAGAAGAGGAGGGGGTGTAAACAAATTTTAAAATTTTGAAAATCTGCGCGAATCAGCTTTTACAGATATCTTTTTATTCCGACCTCTGGCGGCGGGCTCTGAACCACGCAGTGAGAGGATAAGGTGAAGGCTATCTCATTTCAGGACCCCTGATCGTTGGTCTTAAAACTAACCGCCATTTTTGGTAATAAATAATGTCAAATCTAGTAACTTTCATTAAAAGTCCCTACATAGTCGGCCATTTGGAAACTAAATTTAAGGATAGGCAACACACATTTCAATTTCTGAAATTGTCTAGTAACAAATTGTGGCTAATTAATAAAGGAAATATTTCGAGAATTTTATTACACATAACGATTATAAAGTTTGTAGTTGTGAACAATTACATATCTTAACATTAATATTTCGATTTTAAGAACAATCAATTTCTCTTTAGGCGTCTGTGGACATTTGTTGTACCCATTCAAGTTCATGACGCACCCAAACGTGATGTTTTAAATACGCTCTTCGCTTAGTCTTGTAGGGGCACTGTTTACATTCATACCACTTAATCTCTTTTTCATCCATATGGTGCGCAACGACGTGGCGTCTTAAAGTGTCATTTTGTTTAGATTTATACGGGCACTTATCACACTGATACCACTTAATATTAGCCACTTCCAAATGGTGCGAATTTACATGTCTATTTACAGACGACTTATACTTAGCTTTGAACGAACAATGTTTGCATTGGTACCATTTAACATCCGAATCACTCAAATGGCACCCATTGATGTGGTCTTTCAAAACCGACAGATGTCTAGTTTTCAGTGAGCACTCACCGCATTTGTGCCACTTGATCTCCTGTTCCTTCAAATGATGGACAACAATGTGTCGTTTTAAATTCGAATTTAATTTAGCTTTGTATGAACACTGGTCGCATTCGTACCATTTAACACTAGCGTCGTCTAAATGGTGCGTATTCGTGTGTCTTTTTAGGTTGGAGTTTTGTCTAGTTTTGTACGGACAATGTTGGCACTGGTGCCATTTAACATTCTCGTCATCTAGGTGGTGAACAATGACGTGTTGGTTTAACGAGTATTTGTAGTTAGTTCGGTATGAACATTTGCTGCACTCATGCCATTTAACAGCGTCTACGTGGAACGTCTTCATGTGTTTCTTGTAATTATAATAATCCTTAGTTTTGTGCAAACACTTCTTACAGTTGTACCATTTAATATCTTGTTCGTTCAAATGATTCCGGTTTATGTGTTGTTTCAAAGCAAAATTTTGTCTAACTTTATATGGACATTCTTGACATTTAAACCATTTAATATCTTGTATGTCTGAATGCTGATAATGTGAGTGCCGCTTTAGGTTGCTTTTTTGCTTAGTTCTGTAAGTACAGTCCGTACAGTAAAACCAAGGTATTTCTGAGTCTTTCAAGTGTCTTGAAATTTTATGCTTTCTGATATTGGTCATGTGCTTGGCTTTGAAATCACACTCACCACACTCATACCACTTGACAACTTTCTTATTCGTACGATTTTTAGATTTCATCACTTTCTTTTTGACACAATTTACGACATGCCGGAAATATTGTAACCCAGAATGAGTTTCAAAGCGACATTTCTGACAAACATAGTTTCGTATAGCGTATTCTCCAATGTATGTAATTGCTGCCTTTCGTTGATTAAAACTATGACACTGCTGCACATGTTGTTTGAAAAAAAGGGTTAGTTCTGTGTGGAATTCACAGTCCTTGCAGTAGTAAGTTTCAACATTGGAATATTCACAGCTGAAGGGCATTGAAAAAGAATAGTGGCGTCTCACGTGGTTTACCATGGTGAAAAGCGACGTCGTAAAATATGGGCAAAGTTTACAGTGATGGACATTGTTGGGGGAAGATTTCACATAAGCAAACTTCACAGAGTATTCCAGTACAGACATTATTTACCTAAAATTGATTACTTTTTGAAAAACTTTTTTGGAAGCACCTGTCACAACATAACCTCAAAATTACAAAATCGACAAACTATATTTTTCACGTACCTTGCGTGTTAATATTGAACTGGGAGCCAGAAATTTGTATAATTTTTATTTTGCGTGGTCAGAAAAAAGGATATTTTCTCTAATTTCCACAAAATTAAATAAATGTAAAAATGTTAAGTTAGTAACTTTTTTGTTACCACTAGCTAAATTCCCTAACATAGATTAAGATAGATGCGACATATAGGCTGAATTTGCAAAACCACCCTTATTGACATTGGAGTCCTTACGCGCCAAATTTAAATAGTCGATGCCAATAAAAAAACTTGTTTCACTACAACTCGTCGCCTGAGAACTTGTTTGATCTACAGACCAGAGCGCGCTCAGGCCAATGTCGACTCTAAGCATTCAGAAGCGATTTGGTTGGTTTGGACTATAATTTCTGCGGGAAATAGTTGTTGGGTCGGTTTTTATAACGACAAAGTGAATATTTTTGGTACATATTTAGATGATTTTACATATTTTGTTTAACTAAGAATTAATTCTTTATTTGTGTTTTATACTAGCAAAACGACTTAAACTAAGAATATTGTTGAAATCGTAATAACCCAATGGATTTTTTTCGGGAAAATGTTTTGGAAACACTGTGTTCTATTTTGTATGAATTTTTAAATGTTTTTAGTTACAATTTTTGTGGTTGTTTTCGATACACTGTATGATATTAACAGTGAGAAAAAAAAAACAATTAAAATAATCGAAAAATCGAGAAATCTAAAAATCGAAACATCGAAAAACTGAAAAATTGAAAAACTGAGAAATCGTAAAATCAAAAGATCAAGAAATCGTGGAGTCGAAAAGTCGAACAATTGAGAAACCGAAACAGGTCAAAATCGAAAAATTGAAAAGTTAAAAATTGAACAAATTATAAATTGAGAAATTGACAATCAAAATATCGATAAATCGAGAAATCAAAAAACTTAAAAATTCGAAAAACTGAGAGATTGAAAGATCAAAAGAACGAGAAATCGAAAAGTGATGAAGTCGAAAAATCGAAAGATAGAGAAATCGACAAACAAAAAGTTAAAAGCTGAAAAATTGGAAAAGCGGAAAAATCAAAAAACGAAAAAATGGAAAACTGGAAAAACTGAGAAACCGAAATAGGCCAAAATAAAAAATTGAAAAACTGATAAATCGAAAACCTGAACAAACAAATCTCGATAAATCGGGAATGAAAAATTAACAAATCGAAAAATTGAAAAGCAGAACATCTAAAACCAGGAAGTCGAAAAATCGAAGTTAATCGAATTAAGAAATATTGAAAAATTAAAATATCAAAAGATTGAAAAATCAAAAATTTAAAAATCCAAAAATTGCAAATCGAAAAAGTAAAAAGGTAGACACATCGAAAAATCCAGAAGTCAATAATAGAAAATCCGAAGAATTGAAATATTGAAAATCCTAAAACTGAAATATCTAAAAACTGAAAAACCGAAAAATCAAAAAAGTGAAGTCGAAAAATAGAAACCTTAAAAAATCGAAAAATTGAAAAATCAAAAACCTGAAAAATCAAAAAATTAAAGACTTGAAGTACAGGAAAATCGAAACACTCGAAGGTCATGAAATGGGAAAATCAAAACATCGACTAATTGAAAAATCGAAAAATTGAGAGTTATGAAAGTCAAATTTGAAAAATTAAAAAATCGAAAATTTGATAAAATGACAATTGAAAAACATAAAATCCAAAACGGGGAAGTCGAAAAATCAAAAGATTAAGAAATCGAAACCTTTGAAAAATTCGAAAACTTGAAAAATTCAAATATCGAAGAACTGAACTGAAAAATCGAGAAATTGAAAAATCTGAAATTTTAAAAATTAAAAAATCTAAAATTTAAAAATCGAAAAAGCAAAATAATCGACACATCAAAAAATCCAGAAGTCAAAAATCGAAAAGTCGAAGAATCGAAATATTGAAAAACCCCAAAACTGAAATATCGAAAAACTGAAAAATGAAAGAGAAACTGAAAAATGGAAAACCTGAAAAATCCGAAAACAGAAAATCCAAAACCGGGAAATCGAAAAATCGAAAGATTAAGAAATCGAAACATTTGAAAAATTGAAATATGGAAGAGCTGAAATGAAAAATCAAGAAATCGAAAAATCTAAAATTTTAAATATTGAAAAATTAAAATACCAAAAAATTGAGAAATCTAAAATTTAAAAATCGAAAAAGTAAAAAGTTAACACATCGAAAAATCCAGAAGTCAAAAATGGAAAAGTCGAAGAACAGAAATACTGAAAAATCCCAAAACTGAAATAATCGAAAAACTAAAAAATGAAAAAAACCAGGCGAAAAACTGAAAAATCCCAAAACTGAAATATCCAAAAACTGAGAATCCAAAGAATCGAAAAATTGAGAAATCGAAAAATCAAAAAAGTGAAGTCGAAATATCGAAACCTTAAAAAATAGAAACAATTGAAAAACCTAAAAACCTGAAAAAGCAATTAATTCAAAAATCTACAAATAAAGCGTTTATAAAAGTCAAAAATTGAAAAATCGAAATATTTCAAAATCGTAAAATTGAAGAGAAAAACTGAAAACCGAGAAACTGAAAAATTGAGAAATTGTAAAATTCAAAAATTGAAAAATAAATAGGAGTAAACGGAAAAGTCCCCAAACTAAAATTTCGAAAAACTGAGAATTTGAAAGTTGGAACAGCAAGAAATTATGGTCGAAACCGGTTAGAATGTGTATCAGATCACGGATCATGGCTTATAAATCAAATCGTTTCCGAACGCTTAGAGTCGACATTGGCCTGAGTGCTCTCTGGTCTGTAGATCAAACAAGTTCTCAGACGACGGACTGTAATTCGTGTGACCTGAATTAAAGTGAAGGAGCTTGTAATATTCTGGTAAATCTAATGTCAATTTGTCGAAAGTAAAACGCATCGTTAAAAATATTATGACATTTTTTCTAGTTAATTTTATTCCTAGTTAGAAACAAACACTGTTGCCAACATAAGTCGAGAAGTCCTCAACCGTCATTTAATTTAAACTATGACGCTTCTCTATGTTCTCTGTCCCTACACTGGATTGACAGCAGGCTTTGGTTATGCAACACATTAAACACTCATTTTATTATAAATTCTATTACTTCATATTGTTATAACTGACAACAATAGCAAGATTTCGTCTTTCAGTGATGCGCAGTAATATTAGTTATGAGAATCTTAATATCCTCATCTGAATGGTGTAACCCTACATGTCTTGTTAAATTCCGCTTTCGCTTATTTTTGTACGAACACTGTTCGCATTCGTACCATTTAACGTCCTCCTCATCCAAATGGACAGCGTTTACGTGCGTATTTAAATCAGAGTGTCTTTTAGTTTTATATGGACACTTCTGGCATTCGTGCCATTTAATATCTTTCTCGTCCAAATGGTGCGCATTTACGTGACTTTTCAAATGCGAGCTTTGCTTAGCTTTATATGGACACTTTTTGCATTCATACCATTTAATGTCCTTCGCGTCTAAATGATTCGCGTTTATGTGAATTTTCAACTGCGAATTTTGTTTGGCTCTGTATGGACAGCTGGCACACGCATACCATTTAATATCTTGTTCACCTAAATGGTACGCGCTTATGTGTCTATCCAACGACTGCTTATATTTAGTTTTGTAGGGGCACGTTTTGCATTCATAGCGGCTGAAGTCTTGTTTATCCATGTTGTGGTGGCGTTTTCTGTGGTGGATCAAAGTTGAACTACTTTTGGCTTTGTAGGGACAGTTTTCACACACATACCATTTAATATCTTTCTCGTCTAAATGGTGCGCATTTATGTGGTTTTTTAAATGGGAGTTTTCTTTGGTTTTGTAAGGGCACCTAGGGCAAGTACGCCATTTAATACACTGTCTTTCCAAATGACGCGCATTTATATGTCTATTTAAGTTTGATTTTTCTTTGGCTCTGAACTGACATCTTTGGCACTCATACCAGCTAATGTCACCTTTATCCACATGGTGCAACGTTGTGTGTCTTTTCAAATTACCTTTAAGTTTAGTCCTGTATGAACATTTGTCACATTCATACCAGTTAATGTTGACTTCCTCCAAATGTTGCAAACTGTGTCTGTTTAAATTGCCTTTGACTTGAGTTTTATATGGACACTTTTTACATTCATACCAGTCATCAGATTTTCTTTTTAACAATAACTTAGTTTTGAAATTTTCATTATTTCCAACACACGCTGCAATATGTTGAAGCCATTTAAGCACAAAATGGGTTTCAAAGCTACACTTTTTACAAACGTAGGTTTGAACAATGTATTGTTCGTTTTCTCTTTTAATTCCATGATGTTCTTTGAGGTGTTGTTTGAAAAGAAATGTTGTTTCTGTTTGGAAATCGCAGTCTTTGCAATAGTAAGTTTCAATCTTGGTATTTTCACAGTAAAAACGCTGGGTTGAGGTGCGGTGGCGCTTGATGTGGTTCATCATCAAAAAGAAAGATGTTGAAAAGTATGGGCATAATTTGCAACGATGGGCGTTCTTCCATGGTTTCATGGAACCAAAGGTTTTGGAGTATTCCAGAACTGACATTGTGGATCACCTAAATTCATGTTTTACTATTTTATTACAAGATGACGAGCACTATATCGTAATTTATTACCTTATATTACGAGGATGTTGTTATATATCGTTTCAATTGTCGATTAACATTGATTCAATAGCATAACCTTAAATTATAAATCTCGCTTGTAATTAGTACATTTCAAAAGCGACGTTCTGATTTACCTGAAATCGTTACTTAACTCTTTGATTCTTCATCATGTTTATAAGGTGAGTCTACAAATCTAAAAAAACCCAGAAATAAACCAAAATAGCAATGATTGTTTATTTGTAAAGCAGGCAACCAATCATACTAACATTTGACACGAAAACAGTGTGTTGCCTAACCTACACAGATTGAACAACTTTTAAGGTTATGTTCGCGAGGTGAGCAAAAACGAAAAATATTATTTGTTGCTACAAATTAGAACAAACTTATCTACATTGACTTATTAATTACACCAATTTTTGTTACAGTTTTTTAACTAAAAAACAATCAGGGCTTTTTTTGGTACAAGGTGAGGTGAAGTCATTTCCATTCAATTAAAGTAATAGGGAAATTTAGGTAAAAAAATGTCAATTCTGGAATATTCGGAGCCTCAACGTGCCAGTTTTTACATGCACTCAATTTTGCAACATTTCAACTGTGAAAACTCCAACCTCGAAACTTACTGCTGCAAGGACTGCAATTTTCAAACAGAGCTCAGACTTCTTCTGAAACAACACTTCGATAAACACCACAAAACCACAAACGACGAAAAGGAATACACCATTCGAAGCTACTTGTGTCGAAAGTGTAGCTTCGAAACTTACTTTTCTGTGAAACTGCTTCAACACACATTGGCGTGTTTACAGAGTAAACGTTATACCAAAACTAAAAGTGTCACGAAAACTGTTGTGACATGGTTTACATGTGATCAGTGTGACTTTAAATCCAAATATAAGTGGATTTTAAAAGCGCACAAAATTTCAAAACACTTGACTGACGACGAAATCAGTTGGTATCAGTGCACTAGGTGTTCATACAGAGGCAAACAAAAAGTCAATTTGAAGTCACATATATACAACCACCATTTGAACGAAGAGGATATTAAATGGCATGAATGCCCCAAGTGCCCATACAAAGCTAAACAGAAATCGACGTTAAACAGTCACATGATCGCCCACCATTTTAGTGAAAAGGATGTTAAGCGTTATGGATGTGACAAGTGTCCTTATAAAGCCAAACGTCTTTCTCTGTTAAAAAAACACATCCAGTTTAACCACTCAGAAGACGACGTTAAATGGTACGAATGCCAGAAGTGCCCATACAAAACTAAACAAAAGTCTAATTTAACGAGTCACATCACGTCGCACCATTTGGATGGGGACGATATTAAATGGTATGAATGCAAGTATTGTCCATTCAAAGCTAAAAGGAAACCAAATTTGAAAAATCACGTAATCGCACGACATTCAGACGGGAAGGATATTAAATGGCACGAGTGTAAACAGTGTCCATTTAAAGCTAAGAGAAGTTCGAATTTGAAAAGCCACGTAATCGCGCGGCATTTAGATGCCAAAGATATTAAGTGGTATGAGTGTACCAAGTGTCCTTACAAAGGTAAACGGAATTTTGATTTGAAAAGTCACATGAATCTTCGGCATGCAGATGAACAGGTGTAAGTTAAACTGTACAAACCAAAACTACCTTAAAATTATATACAACAAAGTTGTAGTTTGTAAATATATTCGTCAGGTCCTCAATGATTTTCATATGTAATTTGAAAAAAACTGTGTACAATAAATGGCAGTGTTGTTTTATTTTATTACTTAACGATAATTTCATCTTTTTCCAACTATGATGGAGTAGTGAATGGTTTTGAGTTTATTCAGGATGGTTAGAAATGAATGTTTGGTTGCCTATATCACACTACTTCAGGGGGAAATCTTTGAGGTTATGTTTTAGTAAAACAAAATTTTCGTCAATAATGCCAACAGTTTTAGATTAAAAAAAGGCTGTTTAGAAGTAGTATTTGTCTTGATATTTAAAGAGTACATTGTTACTTCTGATTGTTACATTCTTTGTACCATGCAATAGAAAATATAACGAATTTGAGTTGACTGTCACGCTAGTTGTACAGGTGGTACTACTGCATACTGGGCACGTCACATCATTTTCTCGGCTGGCAGGCAGCTCGACTGGTTAACGTCAAATGTTTAAAGCTTGATCTTGCAAATGTTAGAAAATTTTTAGTAAATAAAACGTTTAGAGTAAATTAATCTCAGTACTTCAGTTAGTCAATAGAACTGTGTACAAATTCGAGTTGTTTTTAATACAACCACATAAATAACTTTGAAAATCGCGAATTTATCCGGGCGCCTCCACCATTTTTGACGAAATTTTAAAACTGCTCAAATGATTCCAGAGAGACGTCTGTTTTATCGGAAATTTTCTCAGGATCACGAATCTGTTCTTATTTTTGATGTACATTCGCAAATAACTTAGAGAATCGTGGATTTATCCGGGGGCCTCCACCATTTTTGACGAAATTTTGAAACTATTGTGATAACCCAAACATCCCGCCCACCGTGATCCCGCCTTAAATTGACACTTGAAAAAGTTTGAAAGGCTCGCGAAAAATTCAAAAATTCAAAATTTGGTCTTGGCTGTGATCGTCTAACAAAATGGAACCCTACGTTGTGTTTTTGAAAAATGGCGGGATGCGTTCAGATGCAAATGGTGGACTCCAAGGTTGGAAAAGAACCGCTAAATAAAACACAATATTTATGGAGGACACAAAATTATTTATTCCTCCGCTTATTGAACTTTAAATAAAATTTAAATGAAATCAAATTAAACGTTCGGAATCAATGCAAATATTTGAAAATCACAAATTTAATAAAAACAAAGGAAAATCTGAATAAAGTAACTGGATGTAGATACACAAGTCATTACAGTCGTGTAGCGACAAATTTAAATTATGGCAGTCAAAAAGAGCACAAAATTTTAATAAACAAATTAAGCAGCGGCAACGATATCAGAGTGCTTACAAGAGTGTGGCGCTAGAGGCTCGAACTATGTCAATTTCATTCTAGAGCACAACAAAAATACCCATAGGGCGTTGTAGCACGAGCGGAGTTTTGGGGCTCCCGGTCGTGACTGTTCTCCCCCACGACAATGATTCTATCTATGGTAAGCACTGCCGCACAGCATCTCTCTATTACGAACGTGGCGTACGGAAGGACGTTACGGTCGCAAACTCACAGTTGGGTCTCGACAGATCGATAAATCCCGTTAGCTCGACTAGGAACCGCGCACTCCGCTTCCACTACATGTTTGTTATTGCATTGTTTAATCTCAATTCCATTTAAATGTTCAATTTCTATGCCTCTGTTATTAACGACAACTGAACAAGTCTTAAAGTTTCAAAAATTTGAGATTAAACTTGGACATCAGATAATTAAATGATGGAAACATTCATCAACAAAATATTTACATAACAAAAAAAAAATAGCAAGAATTTATAAAAACAAAAGATCTGGTATGAAATAAACTTGTGCAAAAAAAAAATATTACGTGAGGTTAAAACTGCAGAGTATGGAAATTTACGTTCAATTTAAATTATACAACAAAGAAAATTACTGAAGTTAAAATTGTGACATAGAGAAAAATTGTATTCAAAAGAATTTATTTGATGTTACATTATGCCATATGTGATCTAAGTGATTGGTTACTTAAAACAATTTGTTTTGAAGGTTTATATTGTGAACTGTTTATCCCAAACAAAACACATGATAAATAAACACAAAATATCCAGTCAGCGTCTCGGTGATGTAATTTTTAGCGTTGCGAGGAAATGCCTCGGTGATGTAATGATGATAACGATGATAATAATGATGGTAACTGTCTAAGTAAAGAAATTTTTAATCCCCCCCCCCTTCCCCTCGATATTATGAATTTTGTTAATTTAACTTGTGTGAGAAATTAAGAAGTGTTATAATGTAACACTTAAGTATATGCATTCAGAAACCTTATACACAGTAGATAGTATGCTAACCTGTGGTCCGAAATTAGATCGACATTAATTACACCACTTTCATATATAAAATCAGTACTATTAACAAATATGGGATCAATTAAAGTAGCAGATGTTGCTGTAACTCTTGTACTTTCAGTAATAATTTGTCTAAAATCATATGTGGTAAAACATTCTTGTAACTTGTTGTCAAAATGAAAATCGATATTCAGGTCGCCAGTAATGATAATATTTTCATACTGAGGTGTCACATAGGACAGAAAATTGTCAAAGAACTCAGTGGTATCCTCTAACTTACATTTAGTTTTATAAAAAATACCTATAAGAAAACTTAATTTTTGAAGCTGAAGCTCAATACATAAAAGTTCAATGCCACTTATACCATTATAATCATGGAGCACCAATTTAGCTCTGATGTTATTTTTTGCATAGATTCCGATTCCCCCACCAGTCCCTTTTCGATCAGCCCTATATAGTTTATAATTATCCATATTGACCACTGAGGAAGGTATATAATCAGAAAGCCAAGTCTCTGTCACCGCTACCACATCAAAGTCATTGGAATATACTAAATTTTGAAATTCAGTAAATCCTGTAAACAGGGAACGTACATTCAAATGCGCTATACTCATTAGCTTAGAATTATTTTTATTTGAGCTGCTGGCCATAGTCAATTTTAGATATTAATATATTAAGCTGCTTCTTGTACATAGTGCACTGCTGCTTGTTCCCGCATACATGTTGTGTCGAAATTAATGAATTTTTGTTTTTTAAATTATACTCAGCGCAGTTGATACATTTATAAGACTCGCTAGTACACTGTTTAGCTTCATGACTTAGAGAACACTTGTAACATACTGACTCCTCATTTTTACAATCACGACTCATATGTCCATATCTTGAGCATTTAAAACATTTTAGTATCCTAAAGTTATCACTACAATTGAAAAAATATCATAATATTTTTAACGACGCGTTTTGCTTTCGACAAATTGACACTAGATTTACCAGAATGTTATAAGCTGCTTACTGTTTCCTTCACTTCGATTTTTCAATTAATTGATTTTTTAGGTTTTTTGGTTTTTCAATTTTTCAATTTTTTCAGGTTTCGATTTTTCAACTTTACTTTTTTGATTTTTCAATTTTTCGATTTTTTTTAAGGGTTCGATATTTCCACTTCACTTTTTTGATTTTTCGATTTCTCAATTTTTCGATTCTTTAGATTCTCAGTGTTTGGTTATTTCAGTTTTGGGATTTTTCAGTTTTTCGATTCGTCAGTTTTTCTTTCAGTTTTCAGTTTTTCGATATTCTAGTTTTTTGATTTTTCGACTTTTTCATTTTTGACTTCTGGATTTTTCGATGTGTCGACTTTTTACTTTTTCGATTTTTAAATTTTAGATTTCTCAATTTTTTGGTATTTTAATTTCTCAATATTTAAAATTTTAGATTTTTCAATTTCTCGATCGATTTTTCATTTCAGCTACAATTTTTTAATGTTGATTATTTTACTTTTTCGATTTTTTAATTTTTAAAATTGTAGATTTTTCGATTTCTCGATTTTTCAGTTCAATTCTTCGATATTTAATCTTTTGATTTTTCGACTTCCTGGTTTTAGATTTTCTGTTTTTCAATTTTCGATTTGTTAATTTTTCAAATTTGACTTTCATAATCTCCCAATTTTTCGATTTTTCAATCAATCGATGTTTTGGTTTTGCCATTTCTTTACCTTCGAGTGTTTCGATTTTCCTGTTCTTCAGTTCTTTAATTTTTTGATTTTTCAGGCTTTTGATTTATCAATCCTTCGATGTTTTAATTTTTTTAATTTTTCAATCATCCAATATTTCAGTGTTAGAGTTTTTCAGTTTTACGATTTTTCGTTTTTTCGATTTCACAATTTTAAATTTTTTCGATTTTTCACTGTCTCGCGTTTACAATTTTTCATTTCTTATTCCTTTTGATATTCCAATTTTTTCAGTTTATCAATTTTTAATTTTCTATTCTTTCAAATTTTCAACTTCTCGAATTTGCAGTTTTTCCATTGTGAGTTAAAAAATAAAATACTTGATCTTCAATTGTCTAGTGGAAATAAATTCACTATTATTAGTATTATTTTCATTTTCACGGTTTTTAATTTTTTAATTTGTATAGAAAAATAACGCGTTTATTCCAAATCAATTTTTTTAAAATGATAGACTAGCAAATTTTCGATTATTTTAACTATTGGACGATCTTTTTCATGGTGTTGTGGTGACCAAATTTGAATTAAAACTCCGCGCTGAAAAAAAAAACAGAAAATCGTTAAACATAGGCAACCATGTGCACGTTTAGTTCCTTTCTGGTGGTCGGTAGCTCTCCTAGGAAATTTCTGGGTAGGATGAAGATTTTAATCATTACTAGTTCTAACACAGTTTAACAGTCAGGAGTTTGTTTAAAAGCATTTGCTAGGAGATTTCATGAAATTCACTTATTCAGGACTCATTTTTTGTTTATCAAGTTATAAATAAGATTTCTGGATGCTTTTTTGTATGTATTTTGAAAAAAAAATTGTGTTGAAAGTTTAAAACGCTGCAGAAAATAGATTGAGAAACCCACAAGGTTTCTTTATAATGTTTTAAAAATAAATAAAATAAACCGTTTATGTCCAAATATAACAGTAAAAAAATGTAATTGTTTAATCCTGTTTCAATGTTGTATGAAAAAATGAACTTCCATCTTGAATGGTCGGTACTAAAGTCTACCCCTCAATGTTTCCCTGAAAAAAAGTTACTTATTTCAAATAAAAAAAAAGAAAAAGTACAATTTACATCAACCTCGTCATCACTTCGGTAGCCATCTGCAGATGGTAATTCCGTCTACCTTTTTACTTTTTCGATTTTTCAATTTTTGGATTTTTAAATTTTAGAATTTTCAGTCTTTTGATACTTTAATTTTTCAATATTTATAATCTTTCGATTTTTCGACTTCCTGGTTTTAGATGTTTTGCTTTCAATTTTTCGATTTGTTAATTTTTCATTCCCGATTTATAGAGATTTGATTGTTCAGGTTTTCGATTTATCAGTTTTTCAACTTTTTATTTTGGCCTATTCCGGTTTCTCAGTTTTTCCAGTTTTCCATTTTTTCGATTTTTGATTTTTTCGCTTTTCCAGTTTTTCAACTTTTAGCTTTTTGTTTGTCGATTTCTCTATTTTTCGATTTTTCGACTTCATCACTTTTCGATTTCTCGTTCTTTGGATCTTTCAATCTCTCAATTTTTCAATTTTTCGAATTTTCAAGTTTTTTTATTTCTCAGTTTATCGAGATTTGGATTTTTCGATATTTTGATTGTCAATTTTTCAATTTATAAATTGTTCAATTTTTAACGTTTCGATTTTCCGATTTTGGCCTATTTCGGTTTCTCACTTGTTCAACTTTTCGACTCCACGATTTCTTGATCTTTTTATTTTTCGATTTCTCGGTTTTTCGATTTTCCAGTTTTTCGATGCTTCGATTTTCAGTTCTTCGATAATTCGATTTTTCAATGTTTCGGTTTTATGATTTTTAAAATTTCGATTTTTCGAATTTTCGCTTATTTTAATTTTTCTTTTTTTTTCTCACTGTTAATATCATACAGTGTATCGAAAACTACCACAAAAATTGTCAATAAAAACATTTAAAAATTCATACAAAATATAACACAGTGTTTCCAAAACATTTTCCCGAAAAAAATCCATTGGGTTATTACGATTTCAACAATATTCTTAGTTTAAGATGTTGTGCTAGTATAAAACACAAATAATGAATTAATTCTTGGTTAAAGAAAATATGTAAAATCATCTAAATACAGTAGCGGTCATTTCTACGGAACCACTCGATAAAAAGTCAAGTTGGTAGCCCTGTCATCTAGTACTTTACGCCGAAAGCGGTTGGTAGCGGTAGTTGATATGGCAATCGAAACTAGCACAACACGAATGTTTCGGTTGCCCTCATTTATGCCGCACTGTATCCCGTGCATACTGTATGTTCTGTTCATCTATTTATTAAAATAAAATATCTACATTGACAATGGGGCCATCTAACCTGTCAAATTTTTGACACATATGTTTTCCCCCAGAAACCCGTCAAGGTCACTTACACTCACGGTACACTAAACAAATTTTGAAAATTTACACTAGGGAGTGGTTCCATAGAAAAGATCGCGACTTTATGTACCAAAAATATTCACTTAGTCGTTATAAAAACCGACCAAACAACTATTTCCCGCAGAAATAATAGTCCAAAGCAACCAAATCGCTTCTGAACGCTTAGAGTCGACATTGGCCTGAGCGCGCTCTGGTCTGTAGAACAAACAAGTTCTCAGGCGACGAGTTGTAGTGAAACAAGTTTTTTATTGGCATCGACTATTTAAATTTCGCGCTTGTTTTAGGCGGTTGAGGACTCCAATGTCAATTCGGGTGGTTTTTTGCAAAATCAGCCTGTATGTCGCATCTATATTAATCTATGATAAACTATTTGATAATTTTTGGATGACTTTTCATTGTACTTTTTTGTTTGTATATTTAAAAACAAAAATTGATTTAAAAAGCAGACAAATTTGAGGTTATATTGAAACTGCAGCAAATTAAATAATTTTCTCAATGACATTCCATTGCCTTACAGAAATCTGTAACGTGACATTCTAATCTGTCATTCTAATGTTTTTGAAGTTTTTGTTGTGGTTCGGAGCACGGTGGTATCGGAGGCATTATTTAATTTCGGAATTTTTCCCTTTTAACAGTTATTTTACAAAATATTTCTATCAAGTAAATATACTATGTGATAATGTTTGGGTAACACGGGGTAACCTTTCATTCTCCTTTCATGTTTGTATATTAAAAAAACAAAAGTCGATTTAGAAAGCCAACAAATTTGAGGTTATAACTACAGCACATGCTACAACAAATTAGACGCTTTTCTCTCAAAGTACCAGGTAGGAACAAACTTGACGTCCGCTTCACACACTTATAAACATTTTTAGATAAATCACCATGTCGTTACTAAAATACTCAAAGAAGCTCGTCCAAATGAAGCCTTCCCTGAACAATGTCCACCGCTGTAAGGTTTGTCCATATTTCACAACCTCATTTTTGCTCATGGTGAACCACGTTAAACGCCACCAAGCTCCCCCACAATATTTCAACTGTGAAAATATCGACGTCGAAACTTACCACTGCGAGGACTGCAATTTCCAGACAGAACTAACACTTCTTTTCAAGCAGCACGCCCGACTGTGTTATAGGAAGTCTGAAGAGAATTTACCAGAGCAAGTTTACTCAACTCAAAGTTTCATTTGCAAGAAGTGCAGTTTCGAAACACATTTCAAGCTTAAGTGGCTTCAGCACGGTACACAGTGTTTGGGAAGCAATAACTTTCAAATAGTAACACCTAATGGTAAAATTACCATATGGTATTACTGCAACCAGTGTGAAGGCAGATTCACAAGGAAACAAAACTTGAAGGCACACAAAATTTTAAAACATTTGAGTGATGATCAACGCAGGTGGTATTATTGTGGACATTGCTCCTATAAATCCATTCTGAAATCGCGTTTAAAAGTACATGTAATGAGGCATATGAACAAACCAAAGAGACGGATTTTTTTAAAAACTCCTGGTGTTATAGAGTATGTGGATGAGCGGGGTATTAAATGGTATAAATGTGAAAAGTGTCCACATAAAACTAAAGTTAAGGGGAATTTAATCGAGCATATAAATTCCTTGCACTTAGATGAGAAGGATATTACATGGCACGAGTGCCAGATTTGTTCATACAAAGGTAAAAATGTGTTGGCTTTGAAGAGACACATTATTGTACATCATTTAAAAGATAAGGATGTTACATGGCATAAATGTCAAAGCTGTCAATATATGACTAAATATCATAGAGTATTAAAGGAACATATAAATGGGCACCATTTAGATGAACAAGATGTTAAGTGGCACGAATGTGAAGAGTGTTCGTATAAAACCAAATATAAAAGCAACTTGTCAAGTCACAAACTGGTATCACACCCTAGTGAAAACTGGTCACAATACACTCCAAGGATGTTAAAAAAGCTTCCCTCGAAACCACTACATGTTTCAAAGAAAGGTGATTTGACATAATTAATAATAGTAAGTAACTTTGATAATAAAATGTACTCTCCGCAGGTAAAATAAGAGTGGGTGGAAATCTTACTAATTACAAATGGTGTCAGCTTGCCGACGAGAAAAGGAACAACTCAGTTTTCAAAAAAAAGTTACTTGAAGAAGACCACAAGCAAAAACAGGAAATCCATGCAATAATGAAGAACCAATTGCAGGAGGAACATGAGCAAAAACTGCGACATCGTGAAGAAGAACATTATGTAAAATTGAAATTAATGCAGGAGGAGCATGCATTAAGGATGACATTGTTGAAACAACAAATCACGTTCTCCGATGTTGATAATAATTAGTAAATCAGTGAGATATAATAAATTAATTTCATATAATTTTGTTTTTATTTACTTGGTTAGATGAATACATAAGTGATGTGAACAATGAAAAATACTAAAGCATAGAGCGGAACATGAGCTGAAATTGCATTTAATGAATTTAGAAATCTATACTTATATAATAAAGCTGAAGCTTTTGTTTATTTGAACACGCTAATCTCAGAAACTACTGGTTCAAATTCAAAAAATCTTTTGTGTTGGATAGTCCATGTATCATAATTACATATAGGCTATATAACATCACGCTATGATCAATAGGAGCGAAGTAGCAATGAAAAATTCGGAAAAACGGGAAAATTATTCCTCCTTTGACAGCTTCCGTTGCTTACGCTGCTTAAACGGTTAAAGTTACGTAAAAATCATGTATGACAAAATTGTTCCCCTCTAAAAGTTCTAAAGAAAAGTCTGCGACAGCATATGTCTATCTTTTAAGGTCGACTCAGTATAACCTTTTTTATGGTAATGAAATTTGTTCTAAAATAATAATGCATTATGTATAAAATTCTCGCGTCACAGTGTTTGTAACCGAACTTCTCCGAAATGGGTTGACCGAGTTGTATGAAATTTTTTATGTATATTCGGTATGTCTGACAATAGGTTGTAAACTATTTTTTAAACCCCTAAGTGATAAGGGTGGCCCACCCTAAAAAATTTTTGTCTATTTTTTGGACAAAATTTTTTATTTTTATTTTTTTAAGAATTGGCATCAAAAAATACACATAACCCTAAATTTTCACCTTTCTACTACCAACCCCCATTTTTTAATCGTCAATAAAATAAAAATCAATTGCTCTTCCTGTTAGTCTCGCCAAGACTCAAAAACGGCTTGACCGATTTGAAACATTTTTTATATTACGGGAATGGTTTATAAATAAAAAAATAAGGATAACTTAAAAGAACAGTTAAAAAATAAAAAAATTCTAAAAATTTTGTATGGGAATCGCCACTTCGAATTACTTTCAATAGTTGGCGTTTCTGACGGACCTGTCATCTAACTGACGTGTCATACTAAACTAATTCTTCCGTGCGATTGTGAAAAGTATATTGCATTTCAAATCGTTCTTTGTTTTTTCGTAAAAAAAAACGTCGTTTATTTTAAGAAAAGTCTTGGTTAAAGTGAATTTAATTACACATTTATACACGCAAATTTGCAATAGCTCTTGTAACCTTCAATTTATTGTGACAAATTTGCGAGAAGAGTATATTAAATTTCCTCGAACAGGAGAAGAAATGACTACAGTGCAGCAAGGTTTTTATCAACTTGCAAGATTCCCACAAGTTGATGGTGCTTTAGATTGCACACATATCAAAATAAAGTCACCGGGTATGTTAATAAGGTGTTTGTGTTAACGGACATTAGTATAGAAAATTTTGCAGGTGGAGAAAATGCTGAAATTTATGGCAATCGCGAAAATTTTTTCTCCCTGAATGTGCAAACAATTGCTGCTTCTAATTTAAAAATAATAAATATTGTAGCAAGATGGCCCGGTTCTGCTCACGACTCAACAATTTTTAGAAATTCTGAGAACAGAGCAAGAGATGAATTTATTGCATATTTTGCTAATTTGTAAATTTACATACTGTAGGTGTAGAACTTTATAAATATAATTCTTTACATTGTAGTTCTGAATTTATTAAATACAATTTCAACTTATGTTCTGATCTGTGCTTTAGTTAGTTTAATATTTTTTGTTGTTCACATCACCTATGTATTAGTCTGATCATTGCCTGTCTGATGCTACATCTGACAAAGTAATTAAAAACGAAATTATATAAAATTGTTTTATTATATCTCACAGATTACTATCAACATTTATTGATGAACTATTTTGCCTTAATAAGGTCATCTTCAATGTATGCTCCTCCTGCATCAGTTTTAATTTTAAATTGTGTTCCTCTTCTCGATGCCTCAGCTTTTGTTCATGCTCTTCCTGTAAATGTTTTTTTATTATGTTATGAATTTCTTGTTTTTGTTTGCTGTCTTCCTTAAGTAGGTCCTGTTTAAAAATAAAAACTGAATCCTCATTTTCATTGTGAGTTGTTACTTCAACATCTACAACTTAAGAAGCAATTACAACTATGTTACTGTTTTCAGTTTAAGTCTGATAACATACCATCATCATCACACACTGCTGGCAAACCTGTCAATTGGTCCCCTAAAATGTCGCGGACAATTGCGTCTACTGACGTCTCACGTGGACCTTTGGAGGGACCACCACCAGTTTCTTGTCTGTAATTTTTGTCTTTTGAAAAATTACGCACCGCATTTTTTTTTAAATTCGTCCATTTCTCTTTTAAATTTCTGGACGTCCGAGGAACAGTTCTAGAAATAGCGTTAAATTTTTCTGTTAACTTCTCCCACGCTATGTTCTTCTGTTTATTAGTGACAATTCCACTTTCCTTACACTCAATCACCTTCTTGTTTTCTCGAACTAAGTCCACAAGAAGAGATATTTCTTGGGACTCAAAATTTTTTGATCTAACACGGTCACTATTCATCTTGGCTCTTGGCTTAGGATATATAATGCAATCAAACACAAAACACAAGCTACCCCCGCTAAACAAAAATTACAGAATAACAAGAGATTGAGGTTAGAACATTAGAACCACGATGAGCCACGATGATACATTGTCCGTAATGCGCATGTGTTAACCGAAAAATAATTCGTAACCAACCTCCTTCGGCTTGGTTAGTTAACCAAGAAATTTAACCATCAAATATAACTACAATTTCTTGGTTTAACCAACAACTGAAATACCGGGCCTAAGAGAAATAATGGTTAGTTAACCAGAAAATACTTAACCAAATTTTCGACACTGAAATACCGGTTCTTGGTTAAAGTTTTGGTTAAAATTTAACCAAGGTTAGTTAACCCTGATTTTAACCGACTACTGAAATACCGGGCCTAAGTGGTATGGATGTAAAAAGTGTCCATTCAAAACTAAGTATAGACTTGCTATACAAAAACATGTAAAACAACTCCACAAAAATGAAGAAGATATTAAATGGTACGAATGTAAAGTTTGCCCCTACAAAACCAAATGGAAGAGCAGTTTAAACCGTCACATAAATGTACAATCGCACGCAAATGTTTTGAACCTATGGGCGGATCATTTTTGCCGGTCGTCACCGAAGGAGGCGGTCCAAATCGTCTAAGGGCAGAATTTGTAGGTAGGTTCAAACTACAACGAAATTTACGTGTTGACCAAATTCTTACCCTGAATTAGTTTTAATTTTATAAATACTTACTCTGAATTAGTTTTAATTTTATAAATACCCTATCTAAAATGTTCAGAATATGATGAGTCTGTACTTGTGATTTACCATTCCATTAATATTTTTTGGATTTGTTTATACATACAGGGTGACTCAAAAAAAATAATGACTGAGTCAATTTATTTTATTGAAGAAATCAAGAATTGCAAAACTGAATACTTTGGAATCTTGTCAATCACACTAATATCAGGTCTAATTGTGCCGACCATAGTTATAAAATTCACATTAAAGTAAGTCACGGACATTTTTTGAAGTGTACTACATTTGAAAAAGCAAAAAAAATGTTCAGTTTAACTTCCTAATTTTGGTTTAAAGTTTATCAATCATATTTGACGCTTTATTTTATCCGTTTCATTTGCTATCCTTTACTGCGGTCTCTCTTGGATCGAGGTGTAACACCGGACCGAACGTTCTTCGACCGATTGGATAATTTATCACTTCCGACATCTTTTCGGCGACAAATTTAATCTTTGCATACTTCAGCGTAGTTAGTGAACTCGTTGTGACCACTGAAATATACAAAGAGTAAATTTTGAAATGGAACGAAAGTCGAAGAATACTTTCAAAGCCACGATCAAAATGTATTTGCTTATCTTCGCCAAAAAATGCATGACGTCATCGTAAAATTTGATATCATGAGTCTATACCTGTGATTTATCATTGCAGTAATATTTTTTAGATTTACTTATACAGCCTGTCTCAAAAAAAGGTCACTTCGATTTTCGATTTTTCGTTTTTTCGACCAACAGTTTCATCGAATTAGATTTTTCAGTTTAAATTTTTCTATCAACTTTTCGATTTTATTACTTTCTAATTTTCTGATTTTTCAAATTTGCGGTATTTTGATTTTTCGAGTTTTCAGTTTTTTCGTTTTTCGATTTTTTAATTTTTCGTTTTTTTGATTTTTCGATGTTTCGATTTTTTAAGTTGCCATTCTTTCAATTTTCGATTTTTCGTCTTTCCATTTTTAGATTTTTTGATTTTTCGTCAGTTTTTAGACTTTGCAATTTTTTTGCATTTTTCGGTTATATTTTACTTTCCGATTTTTTTGATTTTTGAATTCTCGATTTTACGTTTTTAATTCTTCGATTTCCGATTTTTCAATTTTCCGGTTTTTTAATTATTCTATTCTCGATTTTTCGATTTTCCATTAATCACAAAATTTTTCGATTTTTCGGTTGTTTTATTTTTCGACCTTCGATTTTTCAACTTTCGATTATTCGATTTTCCATTTTCTGATTTTACGATTTCTCGATTTTGGTTTTTCCGCTTTTGTGGTTTTTCGATTTTTCTGTTTGTTTCAGTTTTTATGGTTCTGCAATTTGCAGCTTTTGGATTGCAATTTTGTTACTTTCCGATTTTCCACTTTTCGATTTTTTTGATTTTTTTTCGATCGTCGTTTTTTCGATTTTCATTTCTTCGATTTTTTGATTTTTCAATTTTTAGGCCTTGCAATTTTTCTACTTTTCGCTTTTTCGAGTTTTTGTTTCATCGAATTTTCGATTTTCGATTTTTCGACTTTCCATGTTTAGATATTTTTCGATTTTTTTTTTATTTTTCGATTGTTCTGTTCGTCAGTTTTGACACTGCAATTTTTACTTTTCCACTTTTTTATTATTTTAGTTTCGGATTATTCGATTTTTGAATTTACGTTTTTTTTTTCATTTTTCGATTTCCGATTTTTTAATTTTTCGATTTTTCGGTTTTTTAATTTGTCGATTATCCATGTTCCGACTTTCGATTTTCCAATCTTCGATTTTTCAAATTCCAGTTTTCGATTTTCCACTTTTTGATTCAGTTTTTAGGCTTTGCAATTTGTTTACTTTTCGATTTTTCGATTATTTTACTTTCCATTTTTTTGATTTTTGAATTGTCGTTTAGAGTTTTCAATATTATGAATTTTCGAATTTTCGGTTTTCCTATTTTTCGATTTTTGATTTTTCCATTTTTCGGTTGTTTGATTTTTCAATTTTCGGTTTTTCAATCTTACAAATTTTCGATTTTTCAGATTTGTGAATTTCCAGTTTTTCGATCGACCTACGTATTAGATTCATTGAATTTTCGATTTTCGGTTTTTCCATTTTTAGATTTTTGATTTTCCAGTTTTGTATTTTCAGATTTTCTGTTTTTCGCATATCTGATTTATCAAATTTTCGATTTTTCGATATTTGATTTTCGAATTTTCGATTGTTCAGTTTTCCATTTTTCAGCTTTTAGACTTCAATTTTTTTACTTTTCGATTTTCCAAATTTTCGAGTTTCAATTTTCAGATTTTTGATTTTTCGATTTTCTTTTTAAATCTTTGAATTTTTCGGGTCTGATTTTTCGAATTTTTGATTTTTAATTTTTCCATTCTTCGGTTTTTAGACTTCAATTTTCTTTCTTTTAAATTTTTCGATATTCTATTTTCCGCTTTTCAGAATTTTCGATTTTCAGTTTTCAGACTTTCGATGATTAGAATTTTGGATTTTTCAGTTTTATGATTTTTCGATTTTTAGAAAATTTGAGTAGTCGAATTTTCGATTTTTCAATTCATCGATTTTTCCATGTTCAATTTTTCAATTTAAATTTTGCGATATTCAATTTGTCCATTGTCGATTTTTAGAATTTTCGGTTTTTCAGTTTTTTCATTCTCAACTGTTAGATTTCAATTTTGTTACTTTCCGATTTTTTGGTTTTCGATTTTCCAAGTTTCAGAATTTCCAAGTTTCTTTATTCAGATTTTCGATTTTCCACTTTTTCGATTTTAGATTTTTCGAATTTTTGTTTTTCCAATTTTTTGCTTTTTCGATTTTTCTGTTCGTTTCAGTTTTTAGGCTTTGCAATTTTTTTTACTTTATATATTTTGATTATTTTAATTTCCGATTTTTTTTATTTTTGTTTTTGATTTTTTTAATTTTCAATATTACAAATTTTTGACTTCGATTTTTTGGTTTTCCCGTTTTTCAATTTTCGATTTTTCGATTTTTGAGGTTTGTGAATTTCGATTTTTTGATTAGCCATTTTTTGATTTTCGATTTTTACGATTTGTATTTTTCGATTTTCTGTTTTTTGCATTAGTGAATTTCAGTTTTTCCGATTTTTGATTTTGCGCATATTTGATTAATCAAATTTTCGAAAAAGTTACCATGCTTACAAAAACTTCAAAACATCTACAATATTTCAAAGTATTCAGTTTTGCTATTCTTGATTTCTTCAATAAAATAAATTGACTCAGTCATTAACGTTTTTGAGACACCCTGTATAACCAAATCTAAAAAATATTAATGCAGTGATAAATCACAAGCATAAAACTCATCATATTTTATACATTTAAGATAGGATTTATTCTGCAAAATTTTGAGGTGACGTCAAAAATTTTTTAGAGGGGATAAGCAAATATATTTTAATTAAAAATGTATCATGTTTATCATGATTTTAAAACATTTGCAAGATTTCAAAGTATTCGATTTTTGCAAATTCAAAATTAAATTGCAAAATATTGTTTTATAATTTTGATTTTTTTTCCAAAAATCTGGACGTTTCGGATAAAAACTCAACACGGAGTCATAAACTACATGTGTAGGACTATGTTACTGTATACAATTTAAAACCCATTTACTATGCATAAATTTGAAGTGACGTCATTACATTATTGGTGGGGATGATTAGACAAATTTAATAATTTTGCGACATTTATGAAAAAAATATCAGTTAACAAAAATGGCACGTTTTTATTATTATGCCAGTTACATGTGACTCAACGACAATATCGTTTTTTTTAAGAGTATTTTATTTGGAAAAGTGATGAAATTTTTTATACGGAACAATTGGTCGAAAGATGTTAGAAAGCAAAATAATTCATGTCCGGACCATCGTTACACACGAACGAAAGTGACCATTATTTTATGGGAACAACTACCTGTTAAATCTTCTCGGACAAATTCCAGAGAACTAGTGTGAGCCATAAATATTTCTTACCAAATGTATATATAACTACTGTCCCTCCCGTTATTGTCAATAAAATTTTATAGGGTAAAATGTGAATTTCGTTGTAGTTTGAGCCTACCTACAAATTCTACCCTTGAAGGATTTGGACCGCCTTCTTCGGTGAGGGCAGGCAAAAACGATCCGCCCATAGGCTCAAAACATTTGCGTGCGATTGTACACCACTTAAAGGATGAAGACGTTAAATGCTCAACTAAACATATGAGGTCTACAATTTATTTTATTATTTTTAATTTATATTTTTTGTTTTTTTAATATTATGTGTATCATTAATTTATAGTAAATATTGTCATTTTGTTCTTATTTCTGCTCACGAAACAGGAAATAAACTTAAATCTTAATGAGATTGTGTATGATATATTGTGATAACCCAAATATCCGGCCTTAAATTGACACTAGCACGAGCGGAGTTTGGGACTCCTGGTCGTGATTGTTCTTCCACCGCGACGGTGATTCTATTCTATCGACAACACATGCCATCCAGTACCCCTCTATGACCAAGAAACTTCCCACGCGGAAACAAACCGTTACGGTCGCAAACTCGTGGCTGGGTCTCGACTATTGGGTCAAATCGACAGCGTCACGTCATCACGACCGTCCCTGACTTTTATGCAAGATGGTGCGGCCGCCAGTTCGACGAGGAACCGCGCACTCCGCTTCCGCTACGTGTTTCTGTGTTATTTTACCTCAGTTCCATTTAAATGACTGAACCAGTGTCAAAGTTTCAAAGAGCAATAAACAACATTTATTAAATTCGCCATACACTCTCGTGAAATTTTTAAACGGCAAAGAATTCTTATTTGAGATTAAGATTAGACATCAGAAAATTATATGATGAAAACATTAATCAACAAAATATTTACATAAAAAAATTAGCAAAGATTAAAAAAAAAAGATCTGGTATGAAGTAAAACTTGTGCAGACAAAAGCATTATGAAATTACTGTACTTAATCGATAAATCCAATAGATGTCACTACAGTAGGCGAAGGATCTGAAGATAGCTACAGAATAAAAAAAGGCCTCACGCGAACGGCTTGAGGAGACGAAGTCTTGGACTTTGGATTTATATCTAGGAGGCCTTGCTATAGTTTCATACGATTTTTTGGAGAGCTTCATAATGATTCGTTAAAGATGAAGTATGAGTCAAACTTTTTTTCATAACAATAATAATTTGTTACTGAAATAATGCTTTGTTTCCTACAGGTAAAAAAAGCAAATTATAAGCAACAGAAAATAAACAAACTGAAATCTAAATAAAAGTGTGTATGATGTCATAAATAACGTAAATGTACCTATATGAAGAACATAACACAATAAAACTTTCTATCTACCAAAAATAATAATACCAAATAGATATAAACTTCTAGTTCTAGTTAATACTTAGAAAAAAAGTCGAAAACTAGAGATGTATAGTTTTTTAAATAGCATTTCATTTACTAGAATTATTTTTAACTATACAGAGTGTAATATCACATTAGGGAACTGAGAGAAAAAAATGCTTCCCGCTTCCTCATCCATAACAAAATAAATCGAGCTCAATAACAAACAACGAAACGAAAATCTGAAAATTTCGTATGAAAAGTAAAAGTCGATTTATAAACTTACCGCTGACGTTGCTGCTCGCCGTTACGTTGCCGTTGACGTTGGGTTTTCAACCAATCAAATTGCGGTAGTGCAGTGCTGCCAACCTGAAGGAAAATCCCCTGAAATAGGGGGGACATTTTTTTAGTTAACAGCACTAATTCCACGAAAATCAAATTTTGATAGAGCTAATGAGGTCCAACAATATTAAGCCATTTAATCACCTGTTCGCCGAAACCCTCATATTCTAAATAGTTGCCATCATTTTCTACACTGTAGCTTTCTAGCAGTACTCATGCATTGTTAAAGATAGTCCTCGACGTTTAAATCGACAAAATTTATTGCTATTCGTCTCAAAAACAGATTAGGTATTACAATTACACTGTTTTGCCTTTTTCACAATATGTGTAGTCTTCTTTTCACAACAAGAAAGGTAAAACATGTTTAAAATGGTAAATTTTTGTAAGAGAGTATCCATTTTGAAATTACGCTCCGCCCCTCGGTCTGACACCGAATGAAAAATTCATCACGATTGAGATCGAGACGGATGGGTGGGGGCTTCCCTTTTGGTTTTCTTTTTTAATTAATACATTTATTTTTGTCTGTGTGTATAACACAATTGCTTAAGAACATATTTCACATGGTAATTTCTCACAGAAAAGTAAGGATTTAACAATTAAGCTCCGCCCCTCGGCTTACATCTTGACTTTTTTAATATACATAGCCATCCTTTCACAACAAGAAACTTAGAATATGGTTAAAATCGTAAATTGCACTTTTTCTGTTTTCTTATTTGAAATAAGTAACTTTTTTTCAGGGAAACATTGAGGGGTAGACTTTAATACCGACCATTCAAGATGGACTTAGTTCATTTCTTCATACAACATTGGAACAGGATTAAACAATTACATTTTTTACAGTTTATTTTATATATAAAGAAACCTTGTGGGTTTCTCAATCTATTTTCTGCAGCGTTTTAAACTTTCAACACATTTTTTTTTCAAAATACATACAAAAAAGCTTCCAGAAATCTTATTTATAACTTGATAAACAAAAGATGAGTCCTGAATAAGTGAATTTCATGAAATCTCCTAGCAAATGCTTTTAAACAAACTCCTGACTGTTAAACTGTGTTAGAACTAGTAATGATTAAAATCTTCATCCTACCCAGAAATTTCCTAGGAGAGCTACCAACCACCAGAAAGGAACTAAACGTGCACGTTGTTGCCTATGTTTAACGATTTTCTGTTTTTTTTTCAGCGCGGAGTTTTAATTCAAATTTGGTCACCACAACACCATGAAAAAGATCGTCCAATAGTTAAAATAATAGAAAATTTCCTAGTCTATCATTTTAAAAAATTTCATTTGGAATAAACGCGTTATTTTTCTATACAAATTAAAAAATTAAAAACCGTGAAAATGAAAATAATACTACTAATAATGAATTTATTTCCAGTAGACAATTAAAGATCCAGTATTTGAAAAATTTATAACTCACAATGGAAAAACTGCAAATTCGAGAAGTTGAAAATTTGAAAGAATAGAAAATTAAAAATTGATCAACTAAAAAAATTAGAATATCAAAAGGAATAAGAAATGAAAAATTGTAAACGCGAAACAGTGAAAAATCGAAAAAAATTAAAATTGAGGAATCGAAAAAACGAAAAATCGTAAAACTGAAAAACTGCAACACTGAAATATTGGAAGATTGAAAAATTAAAAAAATATAATTGAAAAATCGAAAACTTGTAAAATCGTAAAATCAAAGAAACGAAAATTTAAAAAATCGAAGAATTGATGAATTCCAAGTTGTAAAATTGTCCAATCAAAGATCGAGAAGTTGGAAAAACGAAAAACCGAAGTAAACAAAAATTTTAAATATCTAAAAATTGTGAAATTAAACAATTGCAAAATATAAATGAAAAACAATCGGGAAATTGAAAAATCTAAGAATAGCACTAGGTGAAAAATCGAAGAATTGAAAAATAAAAAAAAAACTGAAGAAATAAAGAAATGAAAAATTGAACAAATTTAAAACTCAAAAAATTGTAAAATTTAAAATTCAAAAATTGCAATTCGAAATATTGATAAATGACAAATTGAAAACATTAAATTATTGAGGAACGAAACATCCAAACGTTAACAAAGTAAAAAAACAAAAATCGAAAAATCTAATGAATGAACAATCGAAAAACATGCAACATCGCGAAACTGAAGAAACGACAAATTAAAAAATCGAAAATTTAAAAATTGCAAATCGGAGAAATTGAAAATTTTAAAAATTGAAATAACCAAAACTTGAAGAAACGAAAGCTCATACAATATTATTTTATATTTATTATATGATCGAGGTTTCAAGGAACATCGATATTAGAAAAAAATCAGTTTATATTTTGTATTATTACTTTTGGTAGATAGGAACTTTTATTATGTAATGTTTTTCGTATAGGTACATTTACGTTATTTATTAAATCATTACACATATAGGAAATAAGAACAAAATGACAATACTTTATATAACTTAATGTTATACATAATAATAAAAAAACATACAATAATAATAATAATATAAAAAAATCATTTTAACAAAGACTGTAAACGGGAAAAAATTACACTAATAAGTGGGCTCATCCCAGGGCAGTGCTTGCGTTGATTAAACAGTTTCTTTTTGTGTTTTGCGTTCATGAAGTCTTAAATTCGCTCTGACGTCGCTTTTCTATGGACAATTTTTGCATTCATACCACAGAATGTCTTTTCCATTTCCGTGTCGTAACTTCATGTGGTGTTTAAAATTATCCCTGCAAGTACACTCTTTGCACTCCTACGATTTACGCCCTTGTCTGTCCAAATGATGCCTAGCTACATGAATTTTTAACTGTGACTTGAGTTTATTTTTGTATGGACACTTTTCACATTTATACCATTCAATGGCTTCTTTGTCCAAATGCCGAGCATTTATATGATTTTTCAATGTGCTTTTATTTTTAGATTTGTATGGACATTTGTAGCATTCGTACCATTTAACATCTTCATCCTTTAAATGGTGTATGTTTACGTGCTGGTTTAAATTACCGCGACATTTGGCTTTGAAGGGACAAAGTTTACATTCGTGCCATTTAATATCGCGTGGATTTGTATGTCGCCTCATGATATGAGTTTTCAAGTCACTGGTTCGTTTTGATTTATAATCGCATTTATCACATTTATACCATTCAATGGCTTCTTTGTCCAAATGCCGAGCATTTATATGAGTTCTCAAATTGGTTTTTGTTTTAGCTTTATATGGACAGTTGTAGCATTCATACCATTTAACATCTTCATCCTTCAAGTGGCGCATCCTTATGTGAAGCTTTAAACTACTGGTACATTTAAATTTGAAGGAGCAATCTTTACATTCGTACCATTTAATATCGCGTGAATTTGTATGTCGCCTCATGATATGACTTTTCAAGGTAAAGTTATTTTTTGCTTTGTAATCACATTTATCACATCTATACCACTTAATATTTTTCTCGTCCAAGTGGCGTGCTTTAATGTGACTATTTAGCCTCGACGAGTCTTTGGCTTTATATAGACACTCTGTACATTGCCGCCATTCTATATCTTGTGGATTTAAATGGTGAGCAATTATATGTTTTTTTAAATGCGTCTTCTTTTTAGCTTTATGTGGACATTGGTTACATTTAAACCATTTAATATTTTCTTCACACCCGTGTTGGATAATTAAGTGAGTTTTGAAAGACCCCGCATATTTAGTTTTAAAATAGCAAATTTGGCATTCGTACCATTTAATGTCTTTTTTATTCATATGAACAAAGTTGCTGTGCGTCTTGAAATTGCTCTTTTGTTTCGTTTTGAATGGACATTTTTCACATTTGTACCACTTTACGTTTTCAGTTTTGTGTGATAGACGTTTGTGACGTGACAAGCTGCTTTGGTATTTAGTTTTATATGAACACTCTTCACATACATTCCATATAATATCTTGTTCATCTAAATGCTGCGCATTTATATGTTCCTTTAATACTGAATCATGTTTAGTCTTAAATTGACAGTCTTGGCATTTGTGCCATGAGACATCCTTATCTTTCAAATGATTTACAATAATGTGTGTCTTTAAAGCCAATAAATTTTTACCTCTGTATGGACAAGTCTGGCACTCGTGCCATGTAATATCCTTCTCATGTAAGTGCCACGAATTTATATGTTTCATTAAATTCCACTTAATTTTAGATTTATGTGGACACTTTTCACATTTATACCATTTAATACTCTGCTCATCCACATACTCCATAACACCGGGAGTTTTTAAAGAAATCCGTCTCTTTGGTTTGTTCATATGCCTCATTACATGTACTTTTAAACGCGATTTCAGAATGGATTTATAGGAGCAATGTTCACAATAATACCACTTACGTTGATCGTCACTCAAATGCTTTAAAATTTTGTGTGCCTTCAAGTTTGGTTTCTTTTTGAATCTGCATTCACACTGGTTGCAGTGATACCATGTGGTAATTTTATCATTAGCTGTTACTATTTGAGGGTGATTGCTCCCCAAACACTGCGTACCGTGCTGAAGCCACTTAAGCTTGAAATGTGTTTCGAAACTGCACTTCTTGCAAATGAAACTTTGAGTTGAGTAAACTTGCTCTGGTAAATTCTCTTCAGACTTCCTATAACACAGTCGGGCGTGCTGCTTGAAAAGAAGTGTTAGTTCTGTCTGGAAATTGCAGTCCTCGCAGTGGTAAGTTTCGACGTCGATATTTTCACAGTTGAAATATTGTGGGGGAGCTTGGTGGCGTTTAACGTGGTTCACCATGAGCAAAAGTGAGGTTGTGAAATACGGACAAACCTTACAGTGGTGGACATTGTCCAGGGAAGGCTTCATGTGGGCGAGCTTCTTCGAGTATTTTAGTAGCGACATGGTGATTTATCTAAAAATGTTTATAAGTGTGTGGAGTGGACGTCAAGTTTGTTCTTACCTGGTACTTTGAGAGAAAAGCGTCTAATTTACTGTAGCACGTGCTGTAGTTATAACCTCAAATTTGTCGGCTTTCTAAATCGATTTTTGTATGATGAACATGAAAGTAGATTGAAAGGTTACCCCGGGTTAGCCAAACATTATCAAATAGTATATTTACTTGACAGAAAAAATGTGTAAAATAACTATTAAAAGGGAAAAATTCCGAAATTAAATGCCTCAGAACCAGAACAAAAACATTAGAATCAGATTAGAATCACAGATTAGAATGTCAAGTTACAGATTTCTGTAAAGCAATGGAATGTTTTTTATTCATGTTCAAAACACATTTCACTTATAATTGAAGTTTTGATAAATATTTTATTAATTTATTTACATTTTCAAATGTTCTTGTATTTTTTTACTTTAAAATGTTAATATGACATCACAGAATACAAATGACAAATTTAAGTAGGCAACCAACAATACGTGTAATGTAAATGAGAGTACAAAAGGAAGCGATTCTCCTAATTTAAGCACAATTTTAGCACTAAGAAAGAAAGTTTTTCTTCATTTCTGTTAATTATTAAGTGGGATTTATAAACTTGCTGTTGACGTTGAAGTTCCCGTTGCAGTTGCTGTTCCCGCTGACGTTGCTTTTAGAGCTGAAAATGTCATTTATAAACTCCGTTGCCAAGTTGTCGTCGATAGTAACTTTGATGTTCGTTCAACTTTTGCCGTTTTTAAAGAGGTTGTAAAAGAAAAGTGGAGGATTTAAGTTGATTTATACAAAAAAATACCATTTTAGACATGTCTTAAGTTTCTTGTTGTCGAAATAAGTCTACACATATTAAGACAAAAAAGCAAAGTATAGCCCCGCCCACCCGCCCTATCTCAATTATGATAATTTTTTTTATTCGTCGTGAGCTAAGAAGGCGGAGCTTAACTACAAAATCTTTATTTCTCAACGAGATATTAAAAACATGTTTTTGAGTATCGTGTTCTTCAAAAAATACCATCTATATTAAGAATAAAATAAAGCCAAAGATTAGGCCCCACCCAAACCCGCCCCGACCTCAATTCTCAATTGTGATGAATTTTTCATTCGTCGTAAGCTGAGGGCCGGGGATTAATTGCTAGATCCATATTTGTCTACAAGAACTTACCATTTTAAACATGTTTTAAGTTTCTTCTTCTGAAAACACAACTACGTATATTAAGAAAAAAGGGAAAGTATAAGGCCCGCCCTCCCGCCTCAATCTCAATTGTGATGATTTTTTTAATCGAAATTCATATTTCCTTACAAAAATTTACCATTTTAAATGTGTTTTAAGTCTCTAAGAATAAAAAAATCATCACAATTGAGAAGGGGTGGGCGTACAGGGTTAATATTTTGCCTTTTTGTTTAATGTACATAGAATTTTTTGAACAACAAGATACTCATGTTTTTAATTTTACAGTATTGTGCAGTTAAGCTCTACAGTCTACCCCCTTGGTTCACGGCGAATAAAAAAATCATCAGAATTAAGATAGGGTGGGTGGGTGGGCCTTCATTTTGTCTTTTTGTTTTAATATGTGTAGACTTCTTTTCACAACATGAAACTTAAAATATGTTTAAAATGGAAAATTTGCATAAAGAAATATTGATTTTGCAATTAGGGTCCGCCTCATAATTGCAAAATCCATATTTCCTTGCAAAAATGTACCATTTTAACCAAGTTCTAAGTTTCTTGTTGTAAAAAGATGGCTATGTATATTAAAAAAAAAAAAAGCAAGATATAAGCCCCGCCCACCCGCCCTATCTCAATTCTGATGACTTTTTTATTCGTCGTAAGCCGAGGGGCGGAGCTTCATTGTTAAATTCTTATTTTTCTACGAGAAATTACCATGTGAAATATATATGTAATCGTGTTATGCAGAGAAAACAAGTATTAATTAAAAAAGAAAACCAAAAGAGAAGCCCCACCCATGGGTCACGATCTCAATCGTGATGAATTTGTGGCCGCCTGGAAGTAGGCAACCAGTTATACATACATAATGCAGCCACCGGATTGGCAGTTACAACGCGCAAGCCCAAAGAGGAAACGCCACGGTGGAAACGTAAAACAGACTCTCTTCTTCTCCGACCACTCACCGGGTGCAGACGTCCTCTTCTTCTCCGACCACTCACCGGGTGCAGACGTCCTCTTCTCTTCAAGACCTCCACGTGGACATACACATACAACCTTGGGCCGTGTTATCATTTTTGTAGTTGGTATTGTAAATAAACCTGTACTAAAACCGTTTCCGTTAGTAATTCGACGACAACAATTACAATTGGTGACCCCGACGTGATCGAAGAACTACGGGTACGAACATGTCGACTGCCGAAGAACTGCAACAGCAACTCGAAAAACAGCAAGAAGCCATCCGGAAGCTAGAGCACACTCCAGCCGGTCACAGACGTAGCGAACCCACCAGACAAAGAGAGGTACGACAATTAAGAAGAAACTGATAGCCGCCTACACCGACTCACAGGAGAAGCAGCTACGAAAGCTGATAAACGAGATGGAGCTAGGGGACCGACAACCATCGCAGTTATTCCGCGAAATGAAGGCACTCGCGGGGCAACAGATGAATAGCGAAGTCATAAAAACGCTCTGGCTACAGCGACTTCCACCACATGTCCAACTCGTGCTGTCTGCGAGCGAGGGAGTACCGCTGGAAAAGATGGCAGAAATCGCGGACAAATTGGCGGAAATACACAGAAGCAACGCTATGGCTTCCAGTATCAACGCGATAGGCGCCACCAGCGACTCGACGCGGCAGAACACCATCGTACCAACGCAGGAAACTAACCTCATTACGGTAATAGCAGACCTCCAGAAACAGATGGCGGCCTTATCGGTAGCCGTAACTCATCTAACCAACACGAGAGGGCGCAGTCCACAAGCACGGCCACGGCCAGCTCCATCAACTAAATACGGCCGTCCCATTTTTTCTAAAAGTTGTTCCTAAAAAGCATGCCATGACCGCCCTCTATTTGGCGTCATCTATCGGAGAACTGTCAAACACTGTCAAATTCAAATCCACGAATTGTCAATTTAAATATTTGATTAAACTCTTTCATTATTAAAGAAAATGGTTAAAAAGTGCTTTATTTGTGGTAGTACGGACATTCCGCTGTTTCAGTTTCCAGCGGAACATACTTTAAGAGCCAAATGGTTAGACGTCATTAATAAAGTTTGTGGTAAATTTGAATATTGAATATCAATGTAAAAATTCACATATTCTTCCTTAATTTAGACGTAACAAATATTAATGATTACTCGGTAATCTGTAAAAATCACTTTGAAGAAGGCTGTCTCAAATTTGTCAACAGGAGATACCGGCTGAATAAAGAAGCTGTACCCACTGTTGATGTAAAATTATTATTATATTATTTTACAAAATTCGAAATTATATTGCTTAAAGGTTGAAACATCTCCAGAACCTGAATTTCCTGTCCTGCCTTGCAGATTTGAAAAATATGTACAAGCTGATTTAATTTCTTTAAAAGAACTTCAAAATCTGCGGTACCACTGTAAAGTGTTAACTCAAAAATTGAAAAGAACCACACAAAAATACCATCAATGTTTGTCAAAAATTGAAGATTTGAAGCAACAGAAAAGCGAAAACTCTCCAAATGTAGAGCTTATCACTAAATTAGTAAGAAATGCAGAAGCTGGTGATGAAAAGGCGGCATTTCTGTTGGATTTATTAAAAAACCACTTTAAGCAGAAACCGAGATGGTCTGAGCAAACCATAAGAATGTCAATTATATGGAGATTTTGCTCTCCGAAAGGTTACCGATTCTGTCACACGAATTTGTTTAAAGTTCCTTCGAAAAGTACTTTATCAAGGTTTCTTGGTGAATACAAAGGCCAAAATGTCTTAATAAAACAACGTTTGGAGGCTGAAGTCCAAAATTTTAGAGTACCGGTTGAAAGAGTGTGTTCTTTAATAGTTGACGATATGTCAGTCAAAGAAAGAATCCAGTATAGTAGAACTGATGATCATATTTATGGCTTGGATACTTGTGGTTCCCACGAAATAGGCCAACGTCCCCAAATCGCAAATAAGATGTTGTGTTACGTTGTCCATGGGTTGTCGACGAAATATACCATCCCAGCGGGATATTTTTTTCATAAAACTTTATCCACAAATGATTTTCATGCGATTACTATTTCGGTTTTACAACTTTTGAGTGAAAGTGGATTTATTGTGTTGAGACTGGTGACGGATAACTTTTCGGCAAATACTGCACTTTTTAAAAAGTTGGGAAATGGATCTCTTCAGAATTATATTTCTCACCCTGTTCTGCCATCAATACCTTTGTTTTTGAGCTACGATTACTGTCACGCAGTGAAGAATGCGAGGAGTTTATTTTTAGACAGGGAAATGTCCTCTTCCGAAGGTGTTATTTCATCTACATATTTGAAAAAATTGTACGATTTACAAAAAGATTTGCCTGTTAAACCTGTAAGGTACCTAACCAGGAAGCATTTGTACCCTTCGAATTTCGAAAAAATGAATGTGCTGCGAGCCATTCAAATATTTTCACCATCAGTCACGGCATCTTTGAAGTTTTTGAAGGAAGCAGGTGATCCGAGGTTTTGCAACGTCGACGCCACTATTAGTTATCTGGAAAACATGTATAAGTTTTTCCAAATCCACAACGTGTCTAGTAGAACGTATTATATCCGTTCACGAGACAGCACGGTTGCACCTTATGCAGATGTATCAGACCAAAGGTTAGAGTGGTTAAATGTAACACTTCCTAATTACATCGACGATGTGCAAAGCAATTCTTCAAGAGACAGATTGTCTGGTTTATCAGAAGAAACAGCAGAGGCCTTAAAATTCACCGCCAAGAGTACATGCCTTTGTATAAAATTCTTGCTGAAACAAGTTGGATTTTACTACGTTTTAACAAGGGGATTCAGTTCAGATGCTGTTGAAGCTATGTTTTCCCATGTACGCCTGAGAGGAGGGTCTAATGATGCAACAGACGCAAGGGCGGCGGAGTACGCCCTACGTCAAATATTACGTTGTGGCATTGTTAAGGCTTCCACATCGGCAAATATTTCTGAAACTATCAGTTTTGTGAGTACAGCCCCATCAAAGACAAGAGAGGTAGTAGAACAACATATAGAAGATATGGTATTACCTTTTCAGTTAAGAATGAAAATTCAAAATTTGAAGACAAACATGCCTGCTAACAATACAATAT